AGGGAACCAAAGCAAGAGTACTTGGCCCCTCGCCACCTCTCGTGGTTCCACTGGGCGCCCACCTCAGTGGGACTATCCTCCGTCTTCCGTCCTTTCATTGTTGCTGTTCTATTTACTATGTTTGACAGGTGTTTGGTCCGCGCCCTCCTGCGTCGGACACTCGTACCACATCGCAAGCTTGTCGAGCTCCCAATCAAGGAGCCATGGAAGTTTCCGCCACTTCAGTCTTCTTGGTCCACCTGCCTCTTTGAGTCACCAACACATGTACTGGCAGCCGCTCTCCGGTCTTCTGCCGGTTCTCCCTCTTATATTTCTTGAGTGGGGCTTGGAGCTTCTCTGGGCAGCGGCCCTCCGCCTCATCGAAGTGGTTGGGTCCTCGAGGCTCCTGCAGCCGTGCGAGGGCTTCCCGAGAGCAGGCGGGTCTGGGGACAACAGCACTCTGGAAAGCCTGGAGCGAGAAGGATGTTTACAAGCGGAGTCGATCCGTGAGGCTGGGGCCCCGAGACAGGGCCCAACGGAATCGAAGGCAGGAGGACGAGGACGACGCCCGCCGTGTTTCTTTTGCTGAGATTTGAGGCCAGGATAGACTACAGACTACAGTCGGAGCGTCGAAGCAAGGCACGCGTTTGATCCGCCGCCAGGGGCTCGGGGGTCCTTGGGGTCCTTGGGTCATTCCGTCGGCTTCCCTGCAGGTTCCCCGAATACCTTGACCTCCTTGGAGCCAAATACTACGTTGTTGCGAAAGTTCGTCATGTTCCATGGGAGCGTCAAGGTGATGCAGGTTTCGTCCGTTACTTCCGCGCGAGCGGGCGGGCGAAGGCTGACCCTTGTCCCGTCCGCGCCAAGCTGCTCCCCTTTCCCCCTGGAACCCTAGCGGGCTGGGTCAAGAGCGGTCAGATCAAAAATCCGGGATGTATGAAACCCGTATTGCCTCTAGTTATATAATAGTATGGATTTTAAACGGGGTGGTTCAACATCCCGACGTAAAATTACACGGTTTTAGAAATCGCCATGGGATCTTGCTTTGCCAGCGCAAGATGATGAAATTCCAATTCATGACGCACCTTTTACAACACTAACGTAGTGCGAATTCGATCATCATGTCGAGATCCTTGTGGGAAGACTTTGGCTGCAGATGGTCACCGCCTGCCCACGATCTACCGCGCAGGTCAGGGGCAACGATAGGGGGGATAGGCATGGGGGGGGATGCATTGACCCCCAGTCGCCCATTGATCGCCGATAGGGGCCCGATTGCCCCAGCCTGCCTTGGAAGGTGCGGACTCACTATCAGAGGCCTATCGCCGATGTATCGGCGATGTGTCGCCGATTCCAGGTCGATGCATCCCGCCCTATGCCAGTCCCCCCCCATCGTTGCGCCCCAGCAAGAAGGGGGGCCTGAGCGAAACAGGCCCTGGACTCCCAGGGCTCACCCCACAGATCTGCCTACAGTCAACCCGCATAGTAAGGATGAGCAATTTTCCAAGTCTCTACACTTGCATCCTTGCCCCTTCGGCCCATCCTTAGCGGCTTTCGCTGGCCAGCCTCGTTCGAAAAACCTCAGCATGGCCCTCCAAGGCCCTTGTATCCTCACCGTGCATCCTTATTCTACGGGTAGACTGTAGCGGCACTGACGCGCCAGCTTTGAAGCGCAACACGTACCGTGTTCAAAACATCCGTGTCGACACGTTGCGTGTTGGCTCAGCGTGTTGGCCATCGTTTTGGAGAGCGTATCGCGCCAGACGTCTACTTCCATGTTCCGTGTTGGGTTCCGTATCAACACGCTACATGTTGCGTGTTGCGTATGGGACCAGCTTTTCATCATTTGCCGTTCTCTGACGGCCCTGGGGCCCAAGATGGGCCGAGGCCGAACTTGGCGAAATAGACCAGGAACACTGTTCCTCCTGTGGGGGAAGAGCAAACATGCCGATACTGATGCTCGCCAGACCTCCCCATGGGTGCGCTCTGACCCCGATTCCGAGGCGAAGCCAATCTGGCGACGAGGCAAAGGCAGCCGTAGCGGTACAGTCGAAACCGATGGTAAGGATGTGTAACTGTTCCTGAAGGTGCCTTTGCATCCCTGCCGCTTCGGTCCATCTTTTGACTACGTTCAGTGGCCCGCCACGCTCGAAGAAGCTGCAACGCGGGCATACAAGGGTCGGGGGTGGACAGAACCCCCAACAGTGACACGTCGATTCGTGAATTGTCCGTTTTCCGTTCTCGAGAGGGCGCCGTGGCCGTTATGTTCCACGCCTGCGCCCGCCAGGTTCGGGCCTCAGGTCGTTTTCACTAAACCACGTTTCACTAAAGGGAGGTCTGTCCATCCCCGAAAGGGGCTTGCATCCGTATCGCGCATCCTTGCTCTCAGTTTTGACTGTACCCCTCCCTCCTCGGATTCGGGGCCCTCCATGTTGCGCTGCGGCCCCCATCGGGGGTCGCAGCGCACACTACACGCAACAAAAACCCAGGCATGTAGCCGCTGAAGGTCTTTAGCCTTGGTCCCCCCCTTTTCTCTCGGCGGTGAATCTGGTCTTAAAACCTCCTCCTCCTCCTCCGCCTCCTCCTCCTCTTCGCTCCTCCTCCTCCTCGCTCCTCCTCATCCTCCTCCTCCTCCTCCTCCTCCTCCTCCTCCTCCTTCTCCTCCTCCTCCGCCTCCTCCTCGCTCCTCCTCCTCCTCCTCCTCCTCCTCCTCCTCCTCCTCCTCGCTTCTCCTCCTCCTCCTCCTCCTCCCCTCCTCCTCCTCCTTCTTGCTCCTCGCCCCTCCTCCTCCTTCTCCTCCCTCCTCCTCCTCCTCCTCCTCCTCCGCCTCCGCCTCCTCCTCCTTTTCTTGCGCGGCGGGCGCCGCGGGAAGAAATAATCAATTACCCCCTATTGGTGGGACCCCCAGTCCTCCAATAAGGCCGCCGAGAACAATCACTGGTCATCCCAATATTGGCGGGGGGGGTTCTCCAGACCTTGCAGGCTTAGTGTGCCGGTCCGTCTTCCCCCGATTCGGCGCCCCCCTTCCTTCACGGCGCAGCGATGCCCGCCGTCGGCGGTCGCCGCGGCCAGCGGCTGCCGCCCGCGGGCACCGGCGGCCGCGGAGGGCGGCGGCCGCGCGCGGCCGGGGTGCTGCCCGTGGCGGTGCTCTGCTGCCGCGCCCTGGCCGGGGGCGCCGAGGCTACCAGCCTGGAACGCATCCCCACAGCCTGGCCAGGGCCTCCTCCTCCTCCTCCTCCTCCTCCTCCTCCTCCTCCTCCTCCTCCTCCTCCTCCTCCTCCTCGGCCACAGGCATCATGCACCGAGGTGCCTCGATACGGCCCTGTGGAACGCAACGCGTCCCGTGTCCAAGACGTCCGCGTCAATACGTTGCGTGTTGGCTGCACGCATGAGGCCACGTGTTGGCGAGCGTATCGCGTCAGATCTACGTTTTCAGTCTACGGGTTAAGCTCCGTAACAATACAGTCGGACGTATGAGATCGAGGTCGGTTCGGGGAGGATGCCCTACTGTTCGTCGTGTGCTGTTGGGTGTTCTTGTGTACCCTGGGGAAGGTACCCTTGGATGTTTTGTGTTTTGTCTGGCGGAGGGTCTCATGTTCTGGAGGGATGTTGTTCTCACCTAGGTCCGACTGTACCCCTATGATTGGCGTCTCATCTCGAGACCAGTCTTAGGATTCCCCCCTCAGTTTCTGAGGGCGCATCCCCAAGATCGCCATTGCCTTTTAGCGTGTCAGCGTTAGGGATAAGAACAAGTTCGAGGCTGGTCACGAGGGGGTGGAGGGCTCCTGCTTCGCGGGCGCCGGCGCATCGAGCGGGCCGAAGGTCAGAGCCGAAGCCTTGCCATGGAGACCCGAGGCAGCCTGTATAGGGGGGGATGGCAGCCCAGCTTTGAGCAGTTCGGGCGTGTTCGTTGGTTCTCGGGGGCTCCATCCTCGAGGTGCTCTCCAGCAGGTGCGCCTCGCCGAGTCTGTTTTGGGGGTGCCTTGACCGTCCCGACCGGCCGCCGGAGGCCCGAAATATGGTCCGAAAACCACCAGGGACGGGGACGGGCTCAGGGTGGGATGCGTCGACCCCCAAACGGCCATTCATGGCCGATAAGGGGCCTGCTGGCTCACCACGCCCAGGAACGTGCGGTTTCGCTATCGGGGGGCGATCGACGATCTGGGGGGGCGCTTTTTTCTGGCCTTCCAGGGGCCCTTCCTGGGCCCCGAGGGCCGTCGAGGGACGGCCCAGGACCAGAAGCCGGTCCCAGGAGAAGGCGCCCCTGTGGTCCAGGACACGGGGTCGTACAGTAGAGGCCCATGCCAAGAAACACCCTGCTCGCCTCCAGTGTGCCCTGGGTTTCTTGGGTTTCCATGGTTTTGCTGTGGAAGGCGTGACGATCCCACACCAAAAATCAATGGACGTCCTGGGGTCTCAGGGTTGGACTTCTTGTGAAAGGTTTCTTGCGGTCGGCCCCCACTGTAAGCCATCTGCAGCTTTCAGGAAGCGGCCAGACGATTCAAGACCGAGCGAGGCACGTTTCCCTGATCAGATTTACGGCGGCGGGTTTTGCTGCCGGTCGAGGGAGAGTCGGAAGTGGAGCTGAGCGTTGTTCGACGTATCGGGTGGGAACACGCGCCACTGGGCGTGTGCTGGTTCGGGAGGGCATGTTCGGAAGCACGCGCTCAAAAAGGAGCTGCTGCTTCCCAACACCGCCGCCACGGCGCCAACTCTGCGAGTCCAGTTGGCCGTGCAGTGCCGCTGATGAGCACCACACCCAGGAGACGCCCGGAGCGAGCGCGGCCAGGCGTTGCTGCTCGGCCTTCTGCCCGCTCCTCGGCCACCGCCGGGTGCGCGACGCCCCTGGCCGAGGAGCCGTGGCCGCCCGTGCCCGAGCTCGCGTGGCCCGACGCGGCGGCTGGCGCGCCGCTGCAGGGCCTCCGCCGCCTCGCGGAGGCGGCGTGGAGGCAGGACGGGGGCCCCCTGCTGATCCGGGGCGCGCCGCTGGAGCAGTGGAGCGCCTGGGAGACGCTGTCGAGCAGCCCGGGCCTCCTCCTGGAGGACGCGATCGCGGGGGAGGAGGGCGGCCACCTGCTGCCGAAGGTGGGCAACGTCAGCTTCTTCCAGTACTTCAGCTCGGCCATCCAGAGGGACCTTCGGGGCCCGGTGTGTATCACTTCGATCCTTCGAAACCAGGGGACTCTCCGACAGCCCCCAGGAGGTGTAGATGGCCACGTGTTCGCTTCCCCCCGCCCCCCCGCCCCCCCTGGCAGAAAGAAGTCACTCATCCCAGAGCCCAGTAGAGCCCCATGAAGGTTCAGAACATACTTTGCCCTCCAACCTGCTTCTCCTCCTCCTCCTCCTCCTCCTCCTCCTCCTCCTCCTCCTCCTCCCCCTCCTCCCCCTGGCGGGAGAGCTGTCCTGAACGCGCGCATTGCACATGCCAACTTCAGGACAGCACTGCGTGTGCGAGCCTTTGTGATTTTCTCCTCTTTTGAAGCGCGCGCGTTTGGGCACGAAGTATACTAGTATACTCCCTGGGCCAGGTCGCGACCGTTTACGCGTGGAAAATGTACGGGTGGCTTCGGAAGGTTACCATGGCGCTGCCAGCCGTGGAAGCCTGCCTCTGCGCAGCTCCTCCTACTGGGCAAGAGCTCATGCAGCAGCAGGACTCGTCGGGCGAGAGTAGATCGTGGCAAGGGCGCGGCTGGAGATGCGAAGCCTATGGGTGCAAGAGGAACTTGGATGGATATCGTGCGTGCAAGCACTGCCGGGCGGGGGGGTACGACATCGGCAGTTGGTACGGCAACGACAAGGAGTGGCCCGAGCTCCCGTACCGCCCTGGGCCGCTTCGGTATCTTCTTCCTCGCTCACTGTGTTTGCAGCGGGCCTGTGGTTCTCGTAGGCTTGTCGTCCGACGAGAGCTGTATTGTGGCCGATCTAGCCAAGAAGTGTGGTGACGCATGCGGAGCAGCGAGGTGCGAGACAACGCTGGCTAATCTCATTCCCAAGTCCGTTCCAATCGTACTTCTGCAGCAGCGGGCCAGCACGGCCCATGCCAAGGTGTCGCAGTTCGAGCGCAAGCTTGGGCAAGAGGTGGCCAAGTTGGATAAGCTGCTTCAACAGGTTGCGCAGCAGAGGGCTGCGACCACAGCGGCGAAGGACGACCTTACCTTGGCGGGCAGTGGTTGCAAAGTGACGATCAAAGAATTGGCAAGGAGAAGTCATCACGCCCGTCCCTGGTGAAGGACCAGTCAGACGCATTCACATTGAGGGCATGGTTTCTTGTAAAGTTGGCGCCAGTGCTTTCATCAAGACGGATCGTGCGTTCGACATCGAGGAGTTGGCATACGAGTTGCCCCCTGACGACGTCAGCCAGCTCTCGGCGCGGAAGGGGGCGCTCAACACTCATTAGCGCGAGGTTGTTGCCCTTTTCTTTGCTGGAGTAGTTGGTAAGGCAGGGGAACTCAAAACTGCTCATGCCGACCACGTGCGCAGGCTGGCCACCAAGCGTCGCAAAGGTGATGAAGGTCCCCTGGAGGAGGCAGCCCCCCCAGATGCCGGTGCGAAGCGGGCTCCAGGGAAGTGCCAGTGGATCGGGCGGCGCATCTGCAGCAGCGGGCAGAGATCCAGTGCGTGCGGTAGGAGACGACAAAGTTGAGCGAGAGAGAGACGCTGGTGATGTCAGGGAGTTGGCTGACACAGCCTTGGCAGCGTCGAGCCAAGCAGCCCCCCCTGCCGCCACTCCTTGAATATTCAGGCAAGGCTGCCCGGGGGGAGTCTCCCAGCTCAACGCATTGAGGCTTCAGATTTCAGGTCGGCTTGAGAAGTCAATGTGGTCCAAGTTGCCCTATTACATTTGTGAACTGTTTGGTGTATGTCATGGGCGATGCAATGTCCCAAGGGTTTCTTTGCGTGGTGTATCGCTTGGCCTGTCGGCCCCTCCTGTCGCCTGCCACCGCTTGTCGGCTCAGGCGGCAGCTCCTGCTGAAAGTTTTGATGCTTTCCTACCGGCTGTGTACCCAGGTGGGGACCAATTGGCTTTAAGTGTGTGCGTGCGTGCGTGTCTGCGTGCACGTTCAATTGCGCGGGGTGGAACTTGGTCCAAGATAGGTGGTTTGCGTGCGAGGCCCATACTGTCTTTCTTCAGGAGCACCGCTTGGTCGCCGATCGGATCATTAATGTCCAGCAGCGGGCGTCAGGTGGTTGGTTTGGCGGTTCTCTTTCGCTCTTCTCTAATTCTTATTTCTCCCTCTACGTGCACCAGTCTGGTGCCGCACAGGGCGATGGCGGCCCAGGTAAATCTCCCTGATCAGGATCCGTTCCTGGACGCGAGTTGCTAATTACACGACTGCCAGGACTTAAAGAATCAAACTATGTTCATCTTGTACCAGGGAGGGCTTCATTATGGAGCCCGCCACAATCAGAGCGTATAAATTTACCGAGCAACTGCAGGGTCATGTCATCTCCGCGGGATGTGGGACATGCACCTCGACTGGTTCGCCTGGCCGTAAGAATTGCGAATACTTTGTCGTGTCGAGCAGGCTGTCGAGAGGATAATTGATGTCGACGTTCGTGCCCCTGCCCCCATCACCCTTCACTTCCCTGTCACGATGATGTGCCATGAAAACTTATAATGTATCAAGGTGCTTCATTTTCGCAAGCCCCCTCCCTGCCTCCCTAGATCGGCTACCGTGGGCCCCTGTCCCCGCCCCCCTGTCTGGGATGAGGTTTCGAAGCAAGCGGGAGAGACGCTCGAGCATGCCAGGTCTTTCGACGTGGCTTCGCGTCGGGCTCTTATTCCGAGAAACTATGGATTCGGCTTGTGTCGGGTACCTCGGTTTTCTGCTATGTGTGGGGCCGGTGGAGGCCAGGCGGACAGCGACGACGACGACGACGACAACGAGGAAGAGGGCGACGAGGGCGACGAGGACAATGGGCGGGGGAGGAAGAGGACGACGACGACGAAGGGGCGGAGGGCCAGCATCTCCATCCGTCTCATCGGCCCAAGCCAAAAGCAAGGGCAGAAGGGAGAAACGTGTCGGAGTCACGTTGGAGCCATCTTGGGGCAATCTTGGGGCCAACTAGGGTTAACCGGGTCATTTGGGGCAGTCTCGATGTCGTCTCGGGGTCATGGGGTCGTCTGGGGGCCACGGGGGTTGGGGAGTTGGGTTGTTGGTGGTTGGTGGGTTGAGGGTTTGGGGTGTTGGGGGTTGGAAAGTTGGAGCGTTTGCGGGGTTAGTGGGATTGGCGGGGTCGGAGGGCTGGGGACCTGTTTGATTTGGGGTCTGGGGGGTTGGGGCGGTCAAGTGTTGGGAGGATGGGGGGGGGGTTAGTAGGGTTTGCGAGGTTGACGGGGTTTGTGGGGTTCGTAGTGTGCGGCGTTCACGGGTTACGGAGTTGGGGGGTTCGAGAATTGGTTGGTTGGGGGTTTAGAGTGCTGGGGCGTTGGAGGGTTGGGGGCTGGGGGTTGGGGGGGGTGGCGGGGTGGGAAGTTGGGGGGTTGCAGGGGCGCTGTTGATGCCAACGCGGCTCCACCGCGCCGAGCACCAGAGAGAGAGGACAAACATTGTGTTACAGTGCCTTGAGCATTATGGTTGTCAGGGCGTTGAAGCATCACGATAGATTTAGGCTGCGCTGGCGTGTTATAACATGAGAAGGAGGAGGAGGAGGAGGAGGAGGAGGAGGAGGACCAGCGTACGCCCAAGGCTCACCAACGATGTTGGGATACACTCCCCTCCAAGCTCCCTATAGGCCCCACGCAAGGATTCAAACCCACTGAGGACGTTGCCCCGTTGGGACTCAACCGTGCGAAAAATCTTGAAGGACACCAAAACTCAATTTCTCTGGACATCAAAACCGCGAGTCAACTTGACTGTTGCGTCTTGACGGTCGTGAATCGCGCCTGAACACCGTTCCTGGGACTTGAACACCGCGAATCAACGTAACTGTTGCGCCCTGACAACCCTGAATCGCTCGAATACACAAGTCCTGCAAGGTTGACCGAAACTTGTGCCGTTTGTTGAAACGGAAGTGCTTGACGCTAAGGCGAGAGCCACATTTCGAAAAAGGGCCTCCCTGAATCCGTGCGACTCCTGTAAAGTTTCAACGAGTGTGCGCGACGCTAAGGCTAGAGTGCATGTTGAAAACAAGCCGCCCTCAATCCGTGAAGCTCGTGCAATGTTTTAAGATACGCGTGTGCGGCGCTAAGACGAGAGCCACATCTTGGAAGCGACCCTCCCTCCATCTATAAAACTGCTGCCAGCTTCTAAGTTCCAGGCTCGTAAATGGTAAGGGCCTCTCAGGCGAAACACCCGGCCCACCATTCATATTGGCCTCGGGGTGCGACATGGGGGAGGTATTCATAAGGGAAAAGAATGGAGGAGGAGGAGGAGGAGGAAGAGGAGGAGGAGGAGGAGGAAGAGGATTCCAGGGATTCCGCCATCACGAAGTGGTACACATGATGCCACCCCCTGATGAACAGCACGGCTACGAGGGACAGGAGGCCCAACCATGAAGCCAGCCAAGAAACTTGTGGACCACGAAAAAACGTGATACCGCCAAATGAGTCCCTCCATCATTAAGATGTTCATTCTTTTCTAGCCAAATCACCAAGAGCGGATCAGGCAACGTACACCTTGGCGTGCCGCGCGCAGCACGCGCATTGGCGCGCCGCGCGTTCTGACATTTCCGAGGCGGCGGGCACACTGCCTTCAGATAGCGACACGCCCTTCGGCGTGCCGCCCCGATAAGTAACCCGGGGGGCGCCTCTCCCTTGGGCGACCGCACACCCCCAAGCACGCCGTGGGAAGGATGGGTGCGGATCCACCATGAGACCCCCGCAGGGGATTTACCCACCTGCCCAGGCGCACGCGGTGTAAGTGCCGGGCCACCGCAAGGGGTGGTAACACCTGGCGACGAGGCGTAATGTTCTCTCCCTCTGGCCCCTACGGACAAACAGGCGTGACGGCCGGGCTGAAACCCGCTTGTTTTCTTGGGAAGGGCGCACCCAGTGGCACGGGTGCCAGGAGGAGGAGGAGGA